AGGAAATCTGTGTGCATACGGTGACGCAAAAGTGTGTGGAATTCGATTGGGTATGCATGCCAGGCAACTAGGTGGTGATGTACGTGACGTAAACACGTACGCGACGTGAGCAGATCTGTCTAGAGTTTTGCGTCTTGGGCAGTGTAGACTGAAACACTACGGCGGAGTGTATTCAGCTTTTCCACTCTGGAGGGTGGTTTCAGATTTTTACGTTTTTAAGCTCCAACAACTCATCATCGTCTAAACGAAAAGCACTTCTGATAAAATATGTTGACCTTTTTACCCACAAGCCCATAGACAGACTAATAATAAAGGATTACTCAAATGTGAATGAAACAAAACACAACTCCAGGTCTGATTTTGAGGAGGAAACCACATTATAACATGCCTTAAAGCTCACAAGAGTCACTCACATTTGACGTAATATAGGACCTTTAATACACAGGCCTATATTCAGCTAAATTTTAACCTATTATGAAGTTAAACATAACCCTATATTGCTGCAACATGGTGGGACACTGACAATCTGTTCTGTTTACAATGTGAAATTTGTCTCTAGGTCTGTATTCAGTTACCATGTCCATGAGGCAACACCTTTTTTGTTTACGAGACAAACTCATTGTGCGTCAACTTAATCCATCCTTCCTAGTTACACTAACACTGGCCTATTATTAGCTAACGTTTGCTTGCAATAGATTATTCACCAGTTGTACACTAAAGGCGGGGTGGGTGTGTGTCAGTTCCAAAACTGTTTAGCAGTGTCAATATTAGGACTAAGTAGGTCTTATTTTATTTAAGTTTTATCTATTCTATTATGACTAAGTGGGTCTTATATTATGAGTAAGTGGGTTTTAGGTTAGAGTGCACACGCTGATGGAGCAAGTAGCATTTGTGATTGGCTGCTTCATTTTATAGGTTCTATATTACACAAAATTTAAGCCATTATAATGTTATTACCTCCTCAAAAACAGACCTGGAGTTGTATTTTGTTTCATTCACGCATTTAAGTAATCCTTTATTATTAGTCTGTCTACATCTCCGAAACTCAAAATGCTCTGTTTCTAGGGTGACCAGATTTCAAAATAAAAAAAATTGAGGCACCCCTGGTTTGTGGTGGTTGGTAATAATAAAATTGCGAAATTAATGCATAATTAATGAAAATTGTTGAAATGCAGTCTGCACTAATGTTAGTCGGTATGGCAGTGGTGCAGTTAGCAATTTGGGGGCCCCAGGTGAATTTGAGTTTGGGACCCTCACTATAATGCACATTGTTGATGTTGTTGTTTTTAATATATTTATTGTCTGTGTCTCTCCATTGTTCTTGAGACATGCACATCTCTATTTATTTCAATTATGGTGGATTGGAAACTTGTCTTATTAGTTACGTTGCCTACTAGATAACCAAACCTGAAAGTAGTTTTATTTTTGTGCTAGTACAATTACATTTTTGTTTACATCCATTTCATATGATTTTTTTTTTTCTTATGATTATTGTTTAAAAGCAAAATACTCTCATTTAATGTCATATTGAGAGAAAATCAAATTGCTCTGAGGCATCGGCCATTAGTGACGCTGAAGACAACAGGTTGGGGGCTCCTTCAGGTTTGGGGGCCCTAGGCAGCCACCTATTTTACCTAATGGTAGCACCGCCTCTGCAGTATAGTTACATTCTCTTTGCGTTTTGGTCATTTTTAAGCAGCTTTTCTGTATTTTACCTAAACAAATAACAATTTATGACTCTCTTTACTGTTAGCAGGAATCAAATCGGTCAAAAATAGTGACATCTGGGACATTTATTGTATAAAACTGGGACATATCGATGGGTTTGGATAAATCTGCTGGGACAAGGGACACATGGCTCAAAACTGGGACTGTCCCGGCTAAATAGGGACACATGGTCACCCTATGTATTCCACCTTCTGTCATGCAGTGGTATTTAACAGCTACTTTTAACCTTTTGTTCTGTAGAGATTGGAAATTCCAGGTCAGAAATTATCCAAACAACACAAGTGAAGGTGTATGGAGTTTACGATAAATACACTGTGGACTACTTCCTGTATTATCACATGACATCACAAGGTGGAACGTTGACAAGAACTCAGCCTTAATATGTGTGTTAAATTGTGTTTAAACATGTGTGAATGAAACAAAATACAACTCCAGGTCTGCTTTTAATAAGGCCACAACATTATAAAAAAAAAACACCGTAATACCTGCTCTTCAACCTTTAAAATATATAGGTGAGTCGGAGGAGACAAAAACAAACAATTTATAACTATATTTGTATTGACATATAGTAATGGCAAATTCACAGAAATTCATTTTGTATTTTAAGAATCCAGTTTTCTTGCCAAGATATTATGCAATCATCCAGTCAAACATGAAAGATAAATTAGCCTACCATTGTCACCACAAATTACACGCCAAACACTGTATGTCTGTTATTATTAACACTGGTGAGTTGACTCTTGTATATTATAACTTGCTTTGTACCTTCTATAATAAATAGGTCGAAGGATAAATAATTATTACCTAAAGCAATTTGTTGGCTTCAAAGTAAGCGCAGTGACAATAGCCTACTTTACTGCAACAGGTTAGACGACCTATATGATCTATTTTATAATGTTGTTTCCTCGTCAGAGACATATTGCCCTACAAAGCCAAAAGACTTTAACTCTCCAGATTGTGAAACTGAACAAAATGACGTCAAAGTTAGTTTTTTGTCAGGACAAAAGTATAATAGGTACAGCTCCCAAAATGTGACAGCTAGTAGCTATAATGAAGAAATATGTGTATGTGAAAAATATTGAGCTCAAAACTGACCTTTGACCTTATTTGGAAGTTCCTGTACTCTGCCTTTGTATCATGTGCCAGAAATAAGGAGTCGTGCAAAGGCAAAAGGCAGAAACTGACACTGACTGACACAAGCAGAGTACAGTAACTCCCAGAGAAGGGCAAAGGTCAATTTTGAGCTCAGTATTTTTCATGATATTTATGTACATGATAAAGGAGGTCTCAAATACTCCCAAAATAACATGAACTAATTTTTGACCAAATATGATGTTTCAGCGTTCTGCCTTTGTAGGGCAGCATACGTGGAGTTGTGTTTTGTTTCATTCCTGCATATTTTAAATTTAGTTATTGTTTTGCACAATTTTTGTCTTTGGATCCACAACGCAGTCACAACTTTTACTAGATGTGCATATCTAGATGTGCATAGAAGTATTAACTTCCTTCCACTCGTTTTTTGGACACTTGTAAAATCTGTGTGACATTTATTTTTGTTTATTATTATAGAAAAGAAATATCTACCTTTCGTATTATATCTTTCTATTTACATTTTTTATGCATGTTCTATGTATTATTGTCTGAATAAACATTAATTCATTCATATTTCTACCAGTTATATTAAGATCTTCTCTCAAAACAGAAAACTCTCTGTTCCACCTTGTGATGTCATGTGGTAATACAGGAAGTGCTGCAATGTGTTTTGAAACTCCATACAGCTTCACTGGAATCATTTGGATGATTTCAGCCCTGAAATTGCCAATTTCTACTGAACTAAAGGTGACAAGTAGCTTTAAAACTCGAAAAAAGTAACTTGAAAACTACCACTTTCTGACAGCACAAGGTGGAACAGAGCATTTTGAAGATTGAAGTGGCAGACTAACTAATGATAAAGAAAACTGTTGGGCTACTTGTTACTTCAAAACTGTAATGCATTATTTATTACTTGTTACGATCATTTCAAAGTAATTTGTTACATTACAGTATTACTGCGTTTAAAATGTAAGGCTTTACATGACTACTGCAGCACTTTTAAGTTACTCTCACCAAAATAACTGTGCTGTGAGTGAAAAGGCAGAATTTTTTATTTTTTGGGGAAATTTATGGACTGAACTAGGACTAAACCAGGTTTAAACCAGGACTAATCTTGGACTAGGACTTGGAATCTAGGACTGCTCCTGAGAGAACCCCAAGCCAGTGGAGCAGGGTGTCCTCAAAGCTCGACTGGGCATCAGCTGCGATGAAGCGCGGAGCTCTGCATCAATCCTTTCGCCTGTGGTCACCTGACAGTCTACGCGAGTGCACCTCCGGGCCTTTCCCGACATTCGGACCCGTAACAATGGCGTTTCACCGCTGCTGATATCGCGGTGAATTTAGTGAATTTGTATGAAGAAAAAACCACCACTTCAATCCAGGTTAAAAAAATGCTACTGACATTTATATAGAGTAAAATATTACCATTTTTCCCCCTGTAACGCCGTACATTACTTTAATAACGCATTACTCCCAACACACATAAAGAATTAAACAACACAACTCCAGGTCTGTTTTTGATGAGATAACAACATTATAACATGGCTAAAAGTTCGCATGATCCAATTTAGCATAATATAGGACTTTTAAAGCTCACAAGAGTCTATTTTGCGTAATATGTGACTTTCAAGTTAACGCCAAAACTGGTTCAGGATCAGCTGAATATATTTTAAAACTGTGTCTCATTTGAAAAGGTAGGCGTCCGTATTTGCATTTATTACCGCAGCAACGGTCACTGACAATGACATTTGTATTTAGTAAACAAAACAACACTAATATACTGTAGGTTAACTCCATTACAATAACCAAAACAGAGCTGTCACCTGTCTCTAGCGTTACACCACATGGCCACTGGCTTGTTTCTATCTCATTCAAACAAACAGGGCAGACGCGGGGAGGGACGTAACCGCACCGCGCACTGACAGGAGCTGCATTCCAACGTAGGTGAACACAATAAAACGACTAAAGCCGCTCCCCTTTCAACTGTTCCATCACTGGATTACTAACAAATTCTTTCTAGGGTTTTTTTTTTTTTTTTTTTTTTTTTTCATTCTCTCTAACCAGGCAGAGGCAGCCGGCTACGTCAGCTATCCGGAGAATGAGAGCACACGTGCGGACGTTGCAGTGAAAAAATCTGACAAAGACGCAAATGGTTTAGTTTTGAATTTGCGAGGGAAAAAAAAAAGCTCAAGGGAGGTAGCAAGAGTGAGAGAGAGAGAGAAGTAAAGGGGTGTGTCGTAGCAATTTAGTTCCTCAAGGAAGTACAAGTGAGCATTATCTTGAGACAGTGGTGAACGTTGACAGACACGAAGCAGGAGGGCTCAGCTTTGGAGATTTACGTACCTGCAGAATAAGATGAAGAAGGAGTAAACAGTTAACCGTGTTCGCGTACTGATCTAGAAATATCTGGACAACAAGGAGGGAGGGGGACTCATCTGAACAGGTACGACACTGTGGTGGATTTTGTTTAACTATGCTTAGATGTTAGAGTTTTTTGGATGATAAGAGAACACGTCTTGAAATTCTGAAGTTAAAATCACTGCATATCTGTAGTATTACCATGTAGCAATGCACTTTTTATGTTGACAAAAAAGAAATAATGATTGGACTTTGCAATATTTCCATAAACTCAAAAATAGTGTAAAAAGTTAAGACTCTATTCAGTTCTTATTGAGTTTGCAATACCTTAAAACCATGAGTTGCTTGTACTACTAGTTGCGAACATCAACTCTTGACCAAACCTCATGTCATTCTCATTTTTCAACAAAAACACTAACTTTGCAACCAGTACTGTAATACTGAACTCTCGATTACAGTTACATTATTGGTTTGCATCAACACGACCTTTTCGTATTTCCGTAGAAAGTTCAAGACTTGTAAAACGTCCACTTCCCTCTCAAGCTATGCGCTACAAGTCATGCTGCAACAAGCTCACTGACAGATGTACCGCTCAGTGTTTGTTTAGTCGAATTACTCAATCTGCTGCCAGTGGACTCTCCCAAGTTGACTGGCCTGCTTTGATTCAAACCAGAGCCAGCAGAAATAAAAAGGGGGGGACAGACTAAAACTCGCATTCTGTCTTTCGGAGCTAAACTCGAGGGAGAGATTTGAAGGTTTTAAATGGCGTGTATCGGCCAACTGTTGAACATCGTTTCACTTCCCCTTTGCGACATCGCAGACGAGCACAGTTGAGCAATTATGATTCAAAATTGCGTTGTGTAATGTGGCTGCAAACTGAGCTTTCACAATGCTTTTACCAGAAATCGTTAAAATGATTCAGATATAGATATAGGTATACATGAATATTGAAATCGTGACTTTGCATCATCAGCGGTATCATAAAAAAGAACTAGGTCAGATAATGATCAGTTTGGAAGAGAAGCCCACATGAGTTTATCTATCACTGTCACAAGGGTGGCCCAAAATCCCCAGGAATTGCTGCTAGAGAAATGCAGATGTGGAGCCTTTAATTACATTGTCCGAGATTTTATCAGGGCTGCTTTTGGTGGATGGTGTCGCACTGTTGACAAGTTAGAAGAAGTTTGATCATTTCAATTACTGCATGATGCAAAATATGACCACACAAATGAGTGAACATTTCACAGCTGTTCTATAACACTGTGTGAATGCTGAAGTTTAGGGCATGATCTGTAATCATTTCTCATCAGCAAAAACAAGTGGAAAGCAATAAAGTTTAGTAACAGGATGAGGCCTGTGCAGTTGAGCCTTGGGTATCATTATAATCACAATGACAGATGTTGCACATTTTTATGACTGTTTTTTTTTTTTTTTTTTTTGGCTAAATCATGTGTAACAGTTTCGTGCTATATAACAGAATGTGTGTGGGCAGTAGGCTAGTTTTATAGTGTATACTGTACTATTTATCAAGGCTATTTGACATAACTTTGTTAACTAACTCTGCTTCACATATGCTAACTGGGGGCTAGCAGCTGTCAGTGCTGGTATATGTGTTGCTAGCCTCTGTGCTAGGTAACTGTGCACATTGTTAACAGAATAAACAACCACCTATAGGTGTTTAGTGCTCTGTATTATATTTTACACACTCTGTCCTGTACAACGACTTCTTCCGTATCTGTAACAGTTTTTACATTCAACATATGTCTTTCTTTTATTGTTCTTGCTACAATACCTTTTCTTGTTAAAGTCCACTGATGTGTGGTCTGGTCTGGAACCTTCTCATTGTTGGGTCTGATCAGACAGGGGCCCCCGAGGGCCCTCCCCTGACGCTGAGCTATGCACTGCCTCAGGTCTGTCTCTGGCAACAGCCCTGGTAACCACACAGCAGCAATCTAATAAAAGAGCTCGATAGGTTTGGATTGGAAGGTCAAATAGGGTTAGTAATATGATGAAAGAAAGCTGGAGACACAGTGTGTCCAGTATGATCTGAGATACACTTCTGCTGCATTTGCACTGGGTTTAAACCAGGACGTTCTCTTAAAGGTTTAATGTCTGCACTTCTCTACGGAGCAGCCACCTTGACATTAGCCCATCTGTTAATTCTTTATTTCAGGGGTGTAAGGCTCCAAATTCTAGTGGTCAAATTGAAAGTGAATTTGCTGAACAAGAGGTTTTTTAAGCATTCATCTTTTTTTTTTTAGTTATGAAATTGCAAGGTGTCCAAAAGTAAAAAGTATGAAGTGTAACATTTGGGGGCATTTTAGGCTACAACACCAAATTGTTTTTTGGTCACTCAAAGACTTTTCCTGAACACTTGGGAATTTAGCATTTTTCTTTACAAGAGGACCCATATGTCCCATAAAGCCCACACTATGTGCACCTCCAGATGAGTGCAAGTGCGTACATGTACTCAGAGAGGCTGAAGTCAGCTGAGGAATGCTAAATATTTACCCCTCCTGTCTTTTCAAAGCTCCTCCAATCACTGCTCTGTCTGTCCATTAACTGGTTCAAATGTTAGCCACGGCTGAGAAAGTAGACCTCAAAATGTAAACAATAACAATAGCTTTAGCCATAAATAAAGTTAACATGGAATGAAAAGTGAAGGCTCAAGGTTATGGCCGACCTGATTCTCCTGGTATGTAAATTTGTTCCGATCCTTCTATTCCTCTAGGACAAGCTGTCAGGCATGACTATAGTTGTCTTCAGATAAGTCTTAGTGTATATTAGGGCCTTGGGGAAAATCACAGTCACTTGTCAATACCCCAAAGAGGCTTTGCAGTGCAGTGTTCACACACTGACTTCACACTTAGTGGTGGTAAGTTTTACTTTAGTCACTGTTGGCCTGGCACAGACTGGCAGAAGTGAGGCTGCCAATCTGAATGAAGTGCTTTGCCTAAGGACACAACGACTCAGGCCCAGCCCTGGTTAGACTCTGAGATCTGACAATATCACACTTTAACAAGGAGGTTTTGCCCACTTCACCCAAATTGCCTAGGATGAATGTGGTGTTTGCATGAGTGTTGGTGGTGGTCAGAGGGGCTGATGGGGCAGATTGACAACCTCACTTCTGTCAGTTTACCCCAGTGCGGCTGTGGCTATAAGAGTTTACCACTACTGTGTATGTATGAATAGATGATGACTACAGTGAAGCGCTTTGAGAAGCTTTGACAGCCTGTAAAGCACATTACAGGTGGAAGGCTATTTACACTTAGCTAAAATAATGGTTAGTTGCAGCCCTATGCTGTATTAAATGTAGTATTAAATGCAGTATTAAATGCAGTATTAAATGCAGTATAATCATTTCTGTTCTGAACTAGTGACCACCTTCATTTGGGATGCATGATATATTTTACATTATCATTGCAAATGCGTCCTGAGCTGAGTTATGCTGTCCCTGTGGGGAGGTTTTTTCCTCGATGTTTCTGAGGCGGGAGTTGTGAGCAGCTCATGAGAAGTGAAGCCTTCAGCCTGTGCTCTGTGTTATGGTGTTATAAAGATACGAATGGGCCTAAATGGGTTCATTGTAAGTTGAGAGGTTGTTAAACAGAAAAATAATGTGTAAATATGGATGCAGTTAAATATTTCACGATGACCCATAGAATTTTATCACTATCCGTTTCTCTCGTTTTTTTGCAACTTTTTATTTTTGCGCCTTCTGTCTCTCCGTATGTCCGATTCATCCATGAGGGTTTTAAAGCCTCCTGAACTGGATTCTACAATGTTTAAGTAACACTGCAACTTTCTAAATGTGGCAAATCATATGAATGATTATATAAAAACAGAAACTTAAAACATGAACAGGATTCTACATGGAGATGGATGAGTTTTAAGATATATTGTGGAATATTATAGGAACAATATTTCTATGGAAACAAGCAAAAGGAATCTCTCCACCAAGCTAAATACGAGTTAAGTTTGTGAGTATACAAGCCCACTCACAGTAGGAACACATGCACTACAATAAAAACATCCAAAATAACTTCATATTAGTGTTTTTTTATTGGCTAAAAGTTACACAGTGGGGCTTTAAGTTCTTTTCTAAAATGCGAACACTCACTCCCATTTTACTCCTCGCACACTACACCAACAAACATTCAATTTATTCAGCTGCCTGGTGAAGTCTGTTAATAGAAATAACTACTCCCTAAAAAAGACATTCAAAACAAACTGGAAAACCCTGGTCTCAAGCTGTGTACTTACATTAGCCTTCATCTGATGATTGCACGCTGTACGCCTGTCCCTCAAATCCCCGTAGTCTCTTTAGCAAATAAATGAGACACGCGCTTGGGTCTGAAATAGCTCTCACGCTGCTCCACAACCATTATCTCCGTTAAGGGAAATTAATCTAATGAACGTTCTGTAATTCCCAACAGGGCTCCTTCGCTTTCGTACACCCCGCTCGCATCGTGACTCTCGTTCAAATGGATGGCAGCGCATTCGGAATTGAAATGGAAAAATGTCCCATAAAAGTGTTTGTGTCTTAGGGATGAGGCTGCTGGGAGTTCTGAGGGAAAATCGAGGTCGCCTCTCCACAAATCTGACCTGTAACTTAGTCTAGTTCGGTCTCGATGAAGACAGAAAGGTTTAATCCCATACAGTGAAACATTTCTGACAAAGCCATATCATCTCATGAAAAGCATTTGATGAACCCTTCACCCGAAAAGTTATACAATGCCCCTTGAGCATAAATAATTTGAGGGTTTCTTTAAATTCACTGAAGTTAGTACGGGCTTTTATACGTTTAGAAATCTGAGAAAAGAACCATTTGCATGATAAGGAGGTTATCGCTGTTATCAAGCTATTGGGTTGACATTGCTGACGGAGCTTTGGTTAAATTAAAATTGCGATTTGATAAATGATGTAAAACTCAGTGCGTTCGAAAAGCCATGAAAAGTGTCTCACAGCAGATCTCAAACTAAGGAGGCGTTAAATTGAAAAGGGTGTGGAAGAGAGGGGTCAGAATGTACAGAATAAATGGCAGGACAATTAGTTAGGGTATCATCAAGGGCCACTGAGAGCTGTTTT